AAGGAGGATAAATCTGAGGAGAGAGAAGGAGGAATAATGTCCCCTCCTTCTCTCCTTATATCGTACGCTCCTCCGCAAGGGATACTCAATGTCTTCCCCTTTCTCCCTTGTCCTTCCTCTTTCGTACACGCCTTACGTTTCCCTTGCCTTTTGTCTCTCTTCCTTACCTTCCCTTGCGTACGGTGTCTCAGCTTGCCAGGATTCGGTATCCCTTGCACGGTACGTGCCTCGTCCAATCAGGAAGCTGCCCTTTTGCCTGTACAATGTACAGGCAAATTTAGCCAATCAGGAGGTGGCGTTAGTCCTGTCGTTAGTCTTGGCGCTGGTTCGTCAGAACCGAGCCTCCTTCTGGGTTCAACCCATCACAATCTAAGATAAACACGGTATTTTTAGAGCGCGTTTTAAGCCCGAAGAATTTTAACGCGTAATTATATTATAATTAGTAGACTATTCTATATTTCTACTATATAGATTAAGTTAGTTATACTATAACTAACTATAGACTAAGTAGGAAAGTTAGTAGACTAAAACTAGTTAAAATTGCAAGGGTGGAAATCTCGCGTTTTGTGTGTGTTAAGTGTTACAGAACTGGGCTGCTACGCAACCTGATTGAGGGACTTAACTACCAGTGCCACGTTGGAGTACGTCGGTGACATCCTTAGTTCTAATTACGTCATATGTAGCCTACGCTCGGTATACCTACTTCAATTAGTATACTTAAATTCAACGCCGATCTCTAGCTTAGTGTTGTGCCCGCGTGCATTGGGAGCTCCTTTCTTCATCGGCGACAGCGCCTCTATTCTACTCACTCTCTGCGCGTAGACTAAGCAACCTCGAGTTTGTTGACCCTTTTCACATTCCGTAGGCTTTCCGCCAAACAAGATAAGAGGAAAGTGGTGATGAACAGAGACAAAGGTAGAACAGCTTCCATTGGATTTCCGTGGATCAAAGAAATGGAATGGTGACGACAAGCTACTGTCTTTCCCCTTTCCGCTTCACGAAAACACATATAAGAGCGATATATATATTGATTACCAATTCTCTCCGACGGGGTTGTACCGCAGGTGGGCGGAGCTATATGCAAAAACTAAACTCAATGAGCCTAGTCATGTAGGTGGCTACAACTTCTCCCTTGGGGATTCAGCACCATCCCGTCTTCCCATATAATCCGACCCAGTTCCGTTCCCCTCCCTACCCTCCCTCCCCATGCGCTGGGAGATATTAGTTTCAAAGCAACAGGCACCTTCCAACAAATAGATGCTGTGCAAAGTATGCATGATTTTGACTTTGGTCGTTAGGGAGCGTGGGTTTTCTCTTCTTCTCTTTCTTTCTATGTCGTAAGGAGTGTGTCTCATATCTCTTGCAGTCGTTTGAAGGATCGTACGCTCATGGCCGTGGTCTGGTTCCAGGGATGAGCCGGGAATTAACAAAGTTGGACTCTTTTGTTCGAGTGCCTGAAACAATAAAAGGGTCGACGTCATTTGTCGTTATTTCCTCCCACTGATCGCATGCTATATACAGCATGTCGACCCGAGATGAATCGACAGAAGACGTGATTAGATGAATTGAAGATGTGCTTTTTGTTCTGTTTTTGAAACCTTTCTCCCAACTCCCCAGTATCTGGAGAGCCGGTTCATTCTCATTTATGCCAGGGCGACCAAGCCAACAATACCGGCAAGGAACGCCACGGCAGGCTTGTTGTTGCTGCTAGCAGCGCCGGTGTACGTCGCTACCGGAGCAGGGGCAGTAGTGCTAGCGACTGGAGCGACGCTTGTCCAGACGCTGCTGCTGACGACTGGCGCAGGAGGTGGAGCATATGTGCTGCTGCTCACGGCGACAGTGGCCCAGGTGCTAAACTCAGGTGCCGAAGGAGTTGACCACTCAGCCCAGCTAGTAACGGGCGATGGAGTGCTCTCGACAGGCGCTGGGGCAGGTGCAGGAGTCCAATCTTGCCATTGAGAGGTTGTAGGCTGGACAGGAACCGGAGTCGTCGTTGCGCTACTCCAATCTTGCCAATGAGATGTCGTAGGCTGGACGGGAACCGGGGTAGTCGTCGTTGTGCTGGTCCAGTCATTCCACGTGGTAGGGGCAACAGACTTTGTCGTCGTCGTCGTAGTGCTGGTCCAGTCATTCCACGTTGTAGGGGCGACGGACTTTGTCGTCGTCGTCGTAGTGCTGGTCCAGTCATTCCACGTTGTAGGGGCAACAGACTTTGTCGTCGTCGTCGTAGTGCTGGTCCAGTCATTCCACGTTGTAGGGGCAACAGACTTTGTCGTCGTTGTCGTGGTGCTGGTCCAGTCGTTCCACGTTGTAGGGGCAACGGACTTTGTCGTCGTTGTCGTGGTGCTGGTCCAGTCATTCCACGTTGTAGGGGCGACAGTCGACGAGGGTGTCGTCGTTGTCGTGGTGCTGGTCCAGTCGTTCCACGACGTGGGGGCGACAGTTGACGAAGAAGTAGTCGTTGTGGTCGTTGTGCTAGTCCAGTCATTCCACGAAGTTGGGGCCACAGTCGAAGAGGGAGTGGTGGTGGTGGTGGTGGTGGTGGTGGAGGTGGTGGTGGTAGTCCGAAGACCAGTCAGCCCAAGTTGAGCTCTCTCTTCTATAGACGTTTCCGGCGTTTGCCAGGCTGGCGACAGCCAGCAGAATGAGAGACGACTGCATGTTGGACGAGTATGTGATATGTAAGGTAGATTATGATATAGAGATTGGAAAGGTTGCGAACGTAAATGCCAATGTCCAGAGCCTTAGCGAACGAGCTCCGTGTACGAGGTACAAAGCGAGGGATGGCCGGTCAGAGACGGGAATATGATGGAGGAAGGAAAAAGAGACGCAGATGAGGATGGGGAGGTGGCCGATTTTGTAGTGTCAACCCCCAGCCGAGAAGGCACCTCCCTCAAGCTTCTTTGGCTGTGGATTCTGTCATGCGAGCATGGAGCATGCTACCTATGGAGAGGCGAGGAATGAATCGAAAGTGCTGGGGATGTGGCGAGGACAGCGGGCTTGCAGTATCGTCCCATGACACCAAGCCTGTTCCTCTCAGAATCATGTCATGGTTGTAGTGGAGGGTGGATACCGACATACCTAGACGAGGAACATTATGGAGACCATAGGGTATCAACCGAATTTTCCCAGCCCGGTAGAGTGTACCAGAGTGGGGTTTCAAAAGGCCATGCCAACCGGGTCAGCCTGGGAATAGCATACTCCAATACGAGTAGGTACTCTAGAACACTGGTTAGTGCATTCTCCGTCATTGACCAATAAAAGTACGTAAGAAGAAAAACGGGGGGGAATGTCTCGTGGCTTGCCCGCGAGTAACCAACCTCTTCAGGCGGTAGAGTCCTTCGTACGAGCAGTCGGTAGTTATCATGCACTTGTGTGCGCCAAAGAAGGCCGGGCTTCCTGTTGACCATGTTGATGTAGTATCACGTAGCTGGATGTATTGTCTCCAGCCTCATGCAAGCATCTCAGTTGGACAATGGTCATAGTCTCTCGGCTGTGTGACCACACTGCTGCTGTAGGGAGCTCAAGAGCAAGTGCCTGGGTTGAGCAAGAAACCGGAGGGGATGGGTGCCAGAGGGCTGAGGTCCAGGCAGTAGTGGAAGCGTGGAAGCGTTGCTAGGACCGAGTGGCTACCTCATCCGTTAGTAGGTACTCCAATGAGGTCAGAAATTGTCAACCAAACATAGTGATCCCTGTCACTGCGCCCCCACAAAGAGCTCTTGTTTGCCCTCGATGTCTCGTAGCGTGATCGCATGACTATGGTAGCCACAGTATTCTTGAGACTGCAGGATCCCACCGAACATGGTCGACGCCAACCGAAGCCACTACTGGTAGGCTTCGGCAACTGAACAGAAAAGGTTGATGGTCGTTTAGAGGAGCTTGGAGAAGGAGGTTGGGCAATTGCTAGGGAGTTGGAAAGGACTCTGTGGGGTGCCAAGACTGAAATGTCTCACTTTAGCGGATAGTGGATCCAGGAACCAGCCGATTATTGGTTGATTGTTCAGTCAAGCCTTTCAAATAGTGAAGGATCCATCCCTGTTTTTCCACGTTTCCTTCAGCACGCAAGTGTGCCCTCGGGGAATTTCTGACGGTCTCGGCCCAGTAGAAAAAGCTCTGTCAGACTTTTTCCTCCCGCTGACTCCATGTACCTGCCTCAGTGCCAACCGTATCGTTCCTTTTGGATCTCCCTCGCATGCTCATTCAGACCCTTTCAGCAACGAGGTATCTCGTACTTTCTCGCTGTCTATCTTATTCCCATAGCACCAGCCGGGCGTTGAGCCGGGCTCTCCTCGTACTACTCCGTATATCTATCGATTGGCTTCCGCTCAGAACCTTGTTGGGCACCGATAGGCAGAAGCTAGACGATAGGCGTTGGAACTAGCAGATCTTTTCCGTCAGCTCGACATGGTATGACGGAATTGACGTGCTTTTGTCTCGCTATGAGCTTTGCTCGACCTCGCCGTAGCTTTCCTGCAAAAAGTTCCACACAAATCCGGACCGGCCTTCAGGTTGGCATGTCCTAGTATAGCTGGCCACAGGCTTTAGATACTTGGTATGGTTGGGGGAAGGAATCACATCATGCGCCTGGTGGCCCACAAACCTGATGTATATCATTGGCTTATACTGATAAACAAACTTTGCTGTTTCGGGAACGGAACTTCGACCACATTCGACTTCGGCAACAATGTCCCAGACTGGGCTATTCCATGCATCTTTTTGACTGATGGGTCACTCGTATTTCCGTAGCTCTTGTGTCACAGCAGACCTTCACTCATCGTCGATCCCAGAATCTGATCCTGACTCCCACCCAATGCCGTAATTCTGGGCCATTTGTGTCAAGTCGTTGTAGTGTGCCTCCCGTTCTTCCCGTGGCATTAGGCGGGCAGTCAGGTCCCTGAGGTCAAGAATCCTGCTCTTCATTCTGGAATTGCATCCCAAGGCTGCCGAAACGTCCAACCCGCTGGGCCGTCGACTGGTCTCGAAGAGTGTGTCGGGGAATGTGTCAAGCAGAGGAAATTGGAGGCTGGTCTGAAATCTGAGCGTGTGTCAGTCTTTTGTTGTCGCTTTCTCTTCTTTGTGGGATAGTATGCGCTTTGCGCGGTCGGGGGAAACATGCGAGGGGATCGACTCACAGCTCTACCACGCTCTCCTCGTTCAGTCTTCTTCGAAGCCGCTCCTCCGGGTTAAGGGTCAACGGTCGAGTGCCTGACTCGAGGTGGTCACGCTCACATTCCACCTGGGCAAAAACGTGATTAGACCTCCTGGCTGACGGCTTGCTGAGACTTGGGCTGTAGTCCAGGTCGAAATCTGACGGCTCTGGCACATTGGCACTTTGATTTCCTTGATGGCCATTCCCTTGCACAATTGCAACTCCGTTGGAAGAATGGCTTGCACCAACATTTGAACTCGTGACGCTTGCATGAAGCTCAAACACATTTTGAACCCCGTTGGTATTCAAAGTGTCCTCGAGTAGACCCAACGAGCCTCTTTTCCCTACTTCGGCATGGAGCCTTGTCGGAAGTGTAACAGATTCGACGCCCGCACAGAGGAGTGCAGTATTCATCCAGTCAGAACCATTGTCGAGGTGTACGTACCGAGGGAGGACTGCCGGAGGAGTAGCAAGTCGGATGTATGCTGATGCTTGCTGACCAATTGACTGAAGGGTTCTCGCGGCATTGCACACCCTCACCGATCCTTTTTCCTGGTCCCACTGAGCAATCTGTCTGCTGAGAACTGGTGTGGACATACCCTGGTGGCCCTGAAACCATCTTCCATCCCCCAGACCCAGATACTTGTCTTACCATACTCGTCTCTCACATTATCCACATAATTTGCAGCAAACCCTCCCCAAGCGTCATCTGCCCCAGTGAACAGTTGAAAACCCTGCACTTGATCGCATTCTTCTACGAACGGTCTGACATCACGATCAAGCAGATCAACTTCCTTGTCCAGGCTTTCAAACAAGTCTCCGCCTGCCGACCAGTTTTCAAAGGGCATCAGTTGCGAGTTCAATTCGTACTCGTGGAGCTGGACGATGGATCTAGGGTGATATAAGACTCGGTTGAAATCAGACCAATACCTCACGTCCGAGGCGTGGAGTTGAGCAGTCGGAAGACCTAGATCTAGGTTCCTTTGGAACTCAGATGGCTCAATGGGCTGTTGTAGATGTCGCGCGGTGTTGCCATCCCTAGATGTGGTTAGAGTCTCATTCAACCAAGTGACGTCTCGGTAGACGGCATACCAAAGACCCAGGGGAGGATGAGACTCATCCTGGATGTCATATAATGCATTAAATTTACGGAGAGTGCCAAACCCACCCTTCAGGTCATAGATTATGGTTCGAGGAGTGAATGTCTCTGATCCATCGGAACCAAGGCCTGGTCGAAAGTGAATGTCTGGGTTGACCAGAAGTACCTCATCAGAAGAATATGTGAAATAAGATTCCTTTCAAGGAAAGATTAGAGGGTTTCTGGAAACAGCTGAGTGAAGGATACCTGAGCGTTCCAGAAATGTGTCGCTAGATAGTTACTTTTGTTGCCAAGCTGAAGAGTTATGATTTCATGCATTGTGGGTGCAGAACGTCATTTCGAAATGGGTGTGCCTTGATCATTCGACAGTGAATAGGAGATTTGCGAGTCACAGTGCCAATAACTTAAAGGGTACAAGATATCATTGACTGTGGGACAGAAGGTCGAAGGTAAAGACTGTGCATATGGTCGAGGCTGAAAGAGAGAAATTTGATGGTATTGTGTCTGACAGACAGCTTTTTGGAGGGGTCGAGTTAACCCGTTATCCATAGGTTAGGGCAGCGTGGGCAACCTCTTCGTCGCAAAGAGGTGTCTGGAGTGTATTTACACATAGAAGAGCCTACGGGAATTCTATTCTTCAGACATTCTACAATCTGAGTTTTGAATAGGGCGGTCGATTGGTTAGTCTCGAGAGCTCTTCAGCCATGTTGGAGGTGGCGAGACGATGTTTATTTTTGTTGAGCGTGGCCCCACGACTCGTGTATTTCAAGGAGCATGACTCGTGCCTGCGATTTTCTGGACAACTTGTTCACAAGCCGGTCAATATGGGGATGAGCATGCGAGCATCAGAAATGAAAACGGTGTCATAGACTGGACTTACTGTTCCTCCGCTCAGAACCGTGTATTTCATATTCGTCGCCGCGTATTATTCTTGAAATGCACTCGCAGACCTCGATTCTCACATCCTTCTCTCCTTGAGTTAACTTACTGCAGATCCGACCATTACGCCCTGTGTGGGATCACAACATCTCTACATTTACACAATGGCACCGCCTGGACGACGGAAGTTATCGACTCTCAGCGTTCTGACGCTGGCTCTCCTCCTTTTCTCCACGACCGCGTATGCCGCAGCGGCAGTCCTGGGTATAGATCTGGGGACAGAATATCTGAAGGGAGCCATTGCTAAACCTGGATCTCCTATTGAAATTGTCCTATCCAAAGATTCCAAGAGAAGGGAAGCCGCTACTCTCGCATTCAAACCTTCCAGAACTCAGACAAAGGATGACGAGGCCTTCCCCGAACGTCTATATGGAGGAGATGCCGTGGCTCTTTCCGCGAGATTCCCAAGCGATGTCTATCCCAATCTGAAGAGTATACTAGGTCTGGAATACTCTACGGACCCTGTAAAGAACTACGCCACCCGACATCCTGGTTTGAATCTTGAAGTCGTCCCAAGAGGCAATGGAACGGAAAAGAACAGCGGAACTGTGGGCTTCAAGAGTCACAGCTTTGGGACCAAGAAAGATGAAATATTCATGGTGGAAGAACTGCTGGCCATGCAGTTGAAAAACCTCAAGAGCAATGCGGAAGCAATGGTCGCGAAGGGTGTACATGTCACGGACGTGGTCATTACGCATCCTGCGTTCTTTACCGCTGATGAGAAGCGAGCTATTCAGTTGGCTGCGGACCTGGCGGGTTTGAGAGTTCTAGGTCTCGTGAGCGATGGGCTCGCCGTCGGCCTCAACTATGCAACGCACCGGACGTTCGACAGCGTGACTGATGGTGCTAAGCCAGAGTACCATCTGGTCTATGATATGGGTGCTGGATCGACAACGGCAACGGTGCTCAAGTTTCAAGGCAGGACAATCAAAGGTCCTGGAAAGCGGAATTCCACTGTCCAAGAAGTCATTGCCCTTGGCGTGGGATCCGATGCCTCACTAGGTGGAGATTCTTTGAATGACGTTGTTGTCGAAGACATCATCTCCCGGTTTCTTGAGTCGCCAACTGCGAAAAATCTAGGGCTGAGTCGTGACCAAGTTAGGTCTCACGGGAAAGCAATGGCGAGAATCTGGAAAGAGGCCGAGCGAGTCCGTCAGCTTCTCAGCGCCAACGCAGTTTCTTCGGCCACCCTTGAAGGACTTTATGACGATGATATCACCTTCAAGTACAGTCTTACTCGGGAAAGGTTCGAAGAACTCGCCGCAGACCATGCTTCACGCGTAGGCTCACCGATCGAAGCGGCTCTGCAGTCCGCTGGGCTGCAACTGGATGATCTAGACTCAATAATCCTACACGGAGGAGTGGTGAGAACTCCTTTCGTGCAGAAGCAACTCGAAAAGGTGGCTGGTGGGCCATCCAAGCTGAAAACCAATGTCAATGCTGACGAGGCTGCGGTAATGGGAGCAGCTTTCAAAGCTGCATCCTTGAGCCCTAGCTTTAGGGTCAAAGACATCCGAGGAACAGATATTTCTGGCTTCTCCTTTTTCCTGAAATGGAGTGTCGAGAACAAGGAAAAGACACAGAAAGTGTTCCACCCAACCTCGCAAGTTGGAGCTGAGAAGCAAGTGCCCATCAAAACGCTGGAAGATATCACCTTACGCTTCACCCAGGCAGTCAAGGAGCTAGAAGTTCCTGTAACGGAGATTGAGGCTTCAAACTTGACGAAATCAGTGGGCGAGCTGAAGGAAAGGCATGGTTGTGCTCCGGCAAATATAAGCACCGTTTTCGCTATGCGGTTGAGCCATGTGGATGGATTGCCAGAAGTTGTTTCAGGGTCTGTCAGCTGCGAAACCGAGAGCATCAAAGGCGGAACCGTCATTGACAACGTCAAAGGCTTGTTTGGCTTCGGCTCAAAGAAGGACAGCGAGCAGAAGGTTGTTGGAGACGAAGATGCTAGTGGAGAGACTGCTGAGTCTCAAACACCATTGCCTGCGTCTGATCCCACAAGCTCTGGATCGACCATGTCATCCGCCTCTCCATCGCCATCAGAGTCATCCGCCTCCTCCTCTTCGGCGACCAAAGTCGCCAAAGCAAGCAAAGCAACGCCAACAACAGTCTCAATCCCCATCGCCCTGAGATCAACTGTTTCCGGCCTCAATGCTCCACCCACTTCAATTTTACCTCGCCTCAGGCAGCGTCTAACTCAATTCGATATGTCAGATCGGAATGCTGCCCTTCGGGCTGAGGCTTTGAACAATCTCGAGGCCTTCACGTACCGAGCCAGGGACTATCTCGAGGACGAGGGCTTCATTGCTGCCTCAAGCGCGTCAGTTAGGAATGAACTTGAACAGCAGCTGTCGAGCATCTCAGAGTGGCTGTACGGTGACGGCCTTGACGCCAAACTCCAAGACTTCAAGGACAAGCTGAAGAACCTCCATGCGCTAGTCGACCCCGTCTTGAAGCGACAGGATGAAGCCACAAAACGGCCCGATGCTGTCAAGAGTCTGAAGGAGGGGCTGGAGAACTTGAAAGGCATGATAACAATGGTAGAAGGAAGTATCAAGAAGGCTTCTGAAAACGCGGCATCGAGTGCAAGCGAAGCTGTAGAGTCTACAGCTTCAAGTGCTTCAGGCCCGTCTCCAATGGACGGCGATGACCTTGACGAAGACCCATATAGCAGCACGTCAGCAGACGAAGCACCGCAGACTAACGAACCGCCTCCGATCAAACCGTACGAATACACGAATGAAGATCTTGCAGCTCTGACAACGAAGTATGACGAGGTCAAGGAATGGCTCGACGAGAGACTTGCCCTGCAAGACAAACTCGGGCTACACGAAGATCCAGTTTTCCTGGTTGCTGAATTGCAGACCAGGGGGCTGGCACTACAGAAAGTGGTTTCGGATACTATTCTGAAAACAATAAAAATGCAAGAGATCCCCAAAAAGGGGAAGACAGGGAGTGGAAAGAAAGAGCCAGGAAAGGGAAAGGTCAAGAAGACCAAATCCTCGAGCACGAGTGGAGGCGAAGCTTCCAAAGCGAATACTTCATCGTCCCCATCTGGAACATCGAGCGCCACGGCGACGAAGAGCGTCAAGGACGAGCTGTAGACCTTGTGTTAAAAAGAATCTGAATTGTTTCCCTTGCATCAATACGTGCGAGCCACCACAAAATCTGTATTCTGGGCATTCACTTGAATATGCCAGAAGGGGATACATATGTTCCCACATGGCTCTAGAGAGGCAGCACTTTGTAGGGGCCTTGTAGGAGACTCAATACCAAGACGGGCTCTCTATACAAAGAGCAGACCTCAACACCGCATACGGAACTCACGTGTCTGCGCTCTTGGTTGTGTTCAACACATTCCCAACCCCAGATCCTGGCATTCGCGGAGACATCGAGCCAATAATAGCACTACAACAGCCTGCCAGCTCCTGTCAGCCGTACGTGCGTCGCGCACAACTGTGTGATCAACCGGCTTCCGATGGAATCCCATGTCCGACGGGTGAGCCGCGTCTCTTTCCAGTGTGGGGCACCTTGCCAGGGACGGACCAGCCACATGTCTCTTCTTTGATTTACTGGGTAGTAGGATGAGCCGACTAAAACGTTCGATACTTGCTGGAGAAGGCTGAGACAAAGGGGAAATAGCACAGGCGAACATAGTCCAAAGCCTCATGAATCTGAGACGGCGACCGTTGTCATTCTTGTACTTGTACGCAGGCCAGGCGTCGAGGCGCGGGAGGATCAAATTATCGGACTGCACATTTGTTCAACGCCTGAAACGAGCCAGTTTGATTGGATTGGGCCGCCGAAGACGCAGACAAGCCTTGAGTGGTTGATGGAAGATGAAGGAGGGGGCGGTATGTCAGCCCTATCGACTCTTAGTATCTGTGTCTTTCCCAGTAATATCTTACCATTCTGTCTTGGTATCTTGGTGGTGTGGCCATTGCGGTGACACTTGGGATAAATCTGAGCTCGAAAAACCAAGATTGAAAAAGGACTGTGTCCGAGGAGGCACAAGTACTCGGTACCTCTGAAGAGTGGATTTCACCGCTCTTTATCTGTTAGTCTGACTGGGATCTGGTAGAAGTCAGTGTTTTTCAGCCCCAAATCAGCCCTCGAATACATTAGGCATCAGACAATACGAGACGAACCACCCTGCAAAGCCACTAGAGCCCACCACTAGCCCTTAGCACAAGCTAGAAGCCCCCCCATCTTGGCCACCACCTTTGTGCGTTCATTGTTTTTTCTTTCATCTTCTGCGTCTTCTGCTTGCAGTATGCGACTGATGGCAATGGGGCAAGTCGATTAATCTGTAGTTGTTCAGGCGAGCTGCAATATCCCGGGACCCGAGTGAATGAATCAAGTTCTGACTTGCCTGAAGGACGGCGGATGGCGAACGGGACTGAAATCCTTCGTATCGCAGCCTGATATTTAGGAGGGGAAGACAGCCACTAGTCTTCTGTTCGGTACCCATTGCCCCCCGTACCATTAAGCATCATTACGGGCACCGTGGCCGCCGCTGCGATGTTGTCTGCCCTATTAGTACCTACTAGGGAGTAATTAGTAGTCAGCCGCCCTCTTCAGCGCATCCAACACAGCCGCAGCCGCACGTCCCTCTCTGCTTCTATCGCTGCATACCTCTTCTTCAGCTGTCTGTCCCATTCTCAAAACACCCCATTTTCCAAATCTTGCCCATCCCAGCACTGACCACTACTGACTGAGAAGTTGGGTTCTCGTTGCCTCGTCGTACCATCATCGCCCCCAAGCCAGTGCTCTTTCCTTCGCTCAGCCACCAACTTGGTCTTGCCTTACCAATCCAAATCACCTCGTGTTGACTGCCGCCAAACAACAAAACTCCTTGCAACTATAACGAAACCACTCGGCTCCCTGTACTCGCTCTTTCCCTCGCTCTGCTCTTCAATGTCGATGTCATGAGCTCGCGCTTCAAGTCTCTAGGCTTCGGTTCCAAACGAAAGAGCAGCGCCAACATCCAATCCGCCTCAACCACTTCCACGTCGGTCGCTTCACCCAACGGCTCCATCTCGAACGCCACGACTCCTCCCCCTCCTCAAAACTCCTCGCAAACCAGCCTGCCGCCCATGAATCCCAACCAGCCAGGCGCGCCTGGACGTCCTCCCAGTTACCAGTACAACACCGTCCAGGGACGTCCTCAGTCGCCAATGCCACCTGCTCAGAACCAGATGGCTCATCACCCTGCCCCCATCGATACCAGGGCCGGTGCTTATGTTGGCGGCGCTCCTCAGTTGGGTCCACCTCAACCCCCAGGGTATGGCGGTGCATACGGGCATCAGAATATCGGTCCACAACCGGGCATCCAACATATGGCTAATCAATACCCACCGGGTGCTCGTCCCGCAGAGGTTGAGGGCGCTGGGAGGAGCAAGGCCCAGCTGATTGTTGGCATCGATTTTGTAAGATTTGCACTGTTCAGGATAATTGTATCGCGTGGGTTACTGACTGGCTTCTTTCTTGCTTAGGGCACCACTTTCTCGGGTGTGGCATTCGCCTTCGCGACGAACACGGAAGCAAAAGAAGATATAATAACAGAATGGCCAGGTGCGGGCAATCAAACAAAACAAAAGGTGGGTCGGAGCAGACACCTCGGCCAAAAACTTGTGGCGTAGGACTGACCAGAGTAGATTCCCACCGTTCTATACTATGACCAATATCAGAAAGTTGTCGGCTGGGGTCCAGACATTGCGGACGCCCTAGCTCCCACAGGCTATCCCAAACCAGGCGTGCAAAAAGTTGAATGGTTCAAACTGCAACTCATGCTTTCAGGCAACACTTACATCGACCCTATTAACCTGCCTCCTCTACCACCCGGGAAGTCCGAAATCGATGTGGCTGCTGATTATCTCTTCAAACTTCGGCAAGCCATGAGAGTCCAGCTGCAAAAGACATTGGGTGAGGTCTTCAACAGAGAAGAGCGGAATATCCGATACTTTCTGACCGTGCCCGCTATTTGGAACGATGCCGGCAAAGCAGCCACCAGGGCGGCAGCCATTCAAGCCGGATTCATTCGTGATGAGAACGACAACCGACTAACGCTCATTACCGAACCCGAAGCCGCAGCCATGTTCTGTTCCAAGACCGGCCTCCTCAACCTCAAGATTCATGATGCGGTCCTGATCGTAGATTGCGGCGGCGGCACCGTTGATCTGATTGCATATGAGGTCGAAGAAGAGACTCCCTTCACTGTTGCCGAGTGTACGGCCGGAAGCGGCGACTCCTGCGGTTCTACTGCTCTCAACCGTAACTTTTCCAATATCTTGCGCGCAAAGATCAGGAAGATGAAGTTGCCTGATGGATCGAAAACCGCCGGCCGAGTATACGCCAAATGCATTATGGACTTTGAAAACAGAATAAAGGCAGATTTCCGCAACAATGGTCAGAAATGGGCCGTCGATGTTGGTATCGAGGCTGAGTTCCCCGAAGCCGGCATTGAAGAGGGCTACATGACGTTCACCAATGAGGAAATCCTTCAATGCTTCGAACCCGTGGTCAACAGAATCCTGGAGCTTGTTCGCAACCAAATTATTGCTATCCAAGCGCAGAACAGATCGTTACAGAATGTTCTTGTGGTGGGTGGGTTTGGTGCATCCGAGTATCTCTTCCAGCAGATCAAGCTGCATGTTCCCCCACAGTTCCAATCTAAAGTTGTCAGACCCATGGATTCGGTGGCTGCGATTGTCAAAGGCGCCGTCACGGCAGGTATTACTGAGCGCGTCATCACCTCCCGCGTTGCGAGACGACATTATCTCATGGCGACCCTTCAGCCGTTCAAAGAAGGTCACCATCCTGAACAATATCGCGTGCCGAGCCTTGACGGCAAGGATCGGTGTAAATATACAAGACAGATTTTCGTTCAGAAGGGCGAGAGAGTCAAGATTGGTGAGCCGGTCAAGGTCTCGTTTTTCAGACAAGTCGCACCTGGGGCGACGTTGATGTACGAAGACATTCTTTATGCATGCGATGAGGATGTTTGGTGAGTTTCCTGCGTCGTCTTTGCCCTACTTCGTGGTGTCCAACTAACCGTATAATAGTCCTGAATATACCAAAGACCCACGCATCAAGGAAGTAGTCACTCTTACTTCGGATTTGTCAAGAAAGAACCTCGAAAAGGACTTTGAAAGAATGGATACTCCACAGGGCACATTCTACAGAGTGTACTTCGATATTTACCTGACATTGGATGGGTCCGAGTTTAATGCCGAATTGGTGTGTCAGGGTGAAGTGATGGGAAGGTGCAGCGCAAGATTCAGATAAACCCGTGGATGAAAGTCTGGATATCCCCTGGACAACAAGGACGGTCTCAACTTCAAGAGTGGAAGCATGGCAATTGAGAGGAACGAAAAGAGAAAAAGAGAAAGGGGTGATTTAATGACTGGTAAGGTTGGAGACGACATATGAAGCAACGACAGCGCGGACAGAAAGAAGAGAGTTTGGGAATGTCCCGATATGGGCCAGGCTACACTTTGACGATTGTTGATGTGGACACGATCACAGAGCAAGTACCACAAGCTTGAGATGCATGTCTTCGGAGGGTTGACGATGGTGTCGTGGCCACAATGACGTTGACACGACGTGAAGATTAAGACGGGGAAAAAAGCCAGGAGTTGCATATTATCCATGAGCGAAAGGAATGACACTTTTTTGGAGGACGCGAGATACAATAAACCAAATGGGTCGAATCAGATTTAACCTTTGAATCCAACGGGATGTTTTACTGCAAGAAGATGTGATATGCGGCAGAGAGCTCGGATAGAATTGCTGGATCCTCGATGACTCAATCCTGTCGATGCAGCCCTGTCCTCTTATCTCAACAACGGCCGATGGATGGGTTGCCACACGACTTCCAGGCGCACCCTTGTCCCCGAGTTCGATAAGTGAAGAGGCAGGGTAAAGATGACATTCCTTTCCTCCTCTTTGCTTGTGTGTGTGGTGTTCAATCAATTCCACTAACACGGCCCTCTGTTCGGGTTGACCGTCTCAAGATGGTGGGAATTCCTCGCTGCTGGATGAGTTGGGTATCTGTCCCTTCAGTGCGAGATTCCCCATCTAGCTCTTGAATGGGCATCGATCGCATACAAAAAAGGCGGTGCGCTGTGACTGTACAAGCAGAGATAAGGGGCCTTCGGAAAGGGAGGGACAGTCTAGAAGGGCCTCGAGGATGTGTGCATCAGAGCTTCCTCGCGACCCAGTGACTGCACCGGTAGCGGTTCTGTAGTAAGCTGTTCGGGTCCTGGACGTAGCCTGAATCTGCAGGGAGGATCTCGTGGGAAAGCACCTCAAAGCCCAAGTGTGAAACCAGCTGAACGACTTCCTCGTCTGTGAGTTCGACGGACCCCGGTTCGCCGATGCCTTTGTCTTCCAGGTCGGGTTTGGGTTGGGTTTTGGTTCCAGCTTCAGCCGGTTCGCCGTCGTCGCCGTCTTCGTCTTCATCTTCATCTGTATTCCCTCCGGGAACACGGTTGTCAAAGTGCCACAAGAGGGGCCCGATGTTGATCCACACACCATCAACCTTCAAGCAATTGCGAACTGTCTCGATATATCGAATGAGGTTTGGAGCCGTATCGATGAAGAATAAAGACACCAAACCATCGAACGTCTCCCTGGACTCTGGCGTTGAGTAGGAAAGAACGAAGTCTCCCGCGGTCATGTTCATTTCACCCACCGCTGAACCGGCAGCGACCCGAGCAGAGAAGGCTTGACCAGGATGGATGTCTGGGATTGTGAAGCATCTGAGTTGATTTGCCCGAGATTCGACGTTGGTGAACGTATGTGCAAAGGGATAGATTGAGTACTGATCGGCCCTTTCGGTACTGTTGAGAATGAAATTGCTTGCGAATAATTGGTGATAGGAGATTTCATTGCCTGTCGCGTGGAAGCCTCGTAGAGCGAGTTCAAAGAGGACACGGCCGAGCCCGGCACCTGGCAAAAGGAGCGACGGAGACTGATTCTCGGTTCGTGTCGTGGAGAGATGTGCGGCGAGGTCTGAGATTATCATGTTGAGGAGCGGTTCGACCTCGCGAGTGAAACCTTCGTAAGACCAATCTCTGTAGAACTGACGGATGGTAGAGTGAGCTTTGGCCATGTCATTTGGTTTGGCCTTCCCTTTCCAGTTCATCTCGGAGTCTTTGGGTGGGTTTTCGGGGAGGGCGAATGCACTTAACCCCAGCTGAAAGATTTGCTCTGCTAAGTCGGCATTGTGGTCTATTGCATCATCAACGGCACTCAGGGTGTCGCGGATGGAAAAGGGTGGAGCGGCAAGCATTCGCCATTGAGCTGATGGGAGAGCGTAGAAATTCTGTCTCCTCCGATGGGTTGTGTTGAAGTGTGAGTTAATCCGGTACTGGCTTCAATCTAGGTCAGCTATATTCCAGGTTAGTTACGGGAAAAAGGGTATTGAAGAAGCCGAGAACAAACGAAGGGCCAGAACAGAAGCATAGATACCGCCTGAGAAGCTGGTTGTTCCTTTGCGTAAATGACAGCTTGAACCTCGCCTTCATGAAGCCGCACAGCCGGTCATCGAGACCAGTGCGAACAAAGACCCAGCACATACGGCCTTGCCATCTGCGCACCCAAGGACTCGCTTGGAGCATCAAATGCTCTAGTCCACTTACTGGAAGGAATCCAGGGCAGCGAAAATGACTCGCCGTTCTTGAGGGTCAGCCAAAGGACCTGCGTCGTCAAACAGTGGGCTGGGTTGTGGTAAGGCGGCATCCTGGGTGTTTTGGACTGTAGCCATTCCTGGAGAGGTTCTGGCAGCGACGGGCGCAGTAGACTATTGCTGCTGAACAGAGCTTTGGGGAATGTTGACGGCTTACATTGCTACAGCAGAAAGGCTGGAACTGCGCATTGGGGTTGAAGTCGCAGGCGGTGCCAAGCCAGATAAAGATATTCACACGAGTCTCTCCATCTCCCATTCTCTCAACTCTCAACTCTCAAATACAACTCAATCACTCACTCCTCGTTGTATTCAACTTCACACAAGCTGTGCTGCTGTCCCCCCGTGAAATGATCCCTCCCCTCAATTACATTGCCGACCTGTTCGTCAATCTCTCTCATAGCTAAAACTCCAATTTCCAGCCCACCACCGTCGGGCCTTCAAGGCTCCTAAGCTGCCATGGAACCCTCCTTCAAACCTGTCCACATCTCATTCCCCGTGCCCCGGCACCCTCATCTCAACTTCCATGCACACCTGAGTTTCATAGGAAATTGCAGCATGGTCCTTTTGACCACCACCGACATTGGCCACACTGAGAGCACTCTACCGCCCATGGGAAGTTTTGTCTACGCAATGCCTGCCGTACGTAAAATTGACGTGTTGAGGGTTTGTTACAGCCTCCTAATAGAGTTCTAGATTGGAGACGACCGGAATGTGATCAGCACGCCTCTCGCAACCTCGGGCTCCAACATTGACTATGCCACTAGAATGGCCAAGATACTTGCGCGGAAGATGAAACAGCCAGTGTATGTGGGCTGCAGCATGGATTTCTCTGGAACAACAGCCGAAGAGGAAATGGAAGGCTTCGCGGCCGTCGTCGATCAGATAATGGAGAGGTGGGACCTAAAATCTTGAACTGGCCCTGGTCCCTCACTTCCTCGTTGGGGTCAATGTTCTAGAAAGTTGTTAAAAAAGAGGTCCCCGACATGCAAGGATCGGTATCCTGAGCCCCTACGTGTCATTGGGTCGGGGACCAGACCTGGGCAAACAAATCGGTACTGTTCCTTCCCGTCACTGGAATTCGGCACTTTAGAGCCTCATCGACCATCTGCACCATTGCAAGAACCTGGAACCTGTTACTAAAGGCCTCCTGCTGCACCAAGATCGTCGCTTAGGCCCCTCGGAACTTGTGTTCACTGAGAGAAACACCTCGAGATCGATCACCGCCCTTCGCCAATTTTCGGCAGGGTTGCCGGTTGCGAGGGAACCCTGGCGGCGATTCTGGCATCCCGGGGCATCTTTCCTGGTTAAGGTTGTTGATCGAAGCTTGGCCTCTGACAGGCAGCAAAATACCCTAGGAACTGGAGGCGGAGCACACCTGGTTGACACCACTCAGAACCCTGGAGATTGACGGCCCTCAACGTCAGTAGAAAACTAAATTGGCAATCATCGGACCAAAAGGTCATAGTTCTAACCCTCTCCACGGCGTCTTACATGTCAACTACCTTTTGCGACCTCTATTCAGAGAGAGTCGAGCTAGAGAGTTGAGGAGGTATGCAGCAAAACGCCTCCCGCCCTACCTTCTGCCAGGGCTTGTCGCAAATGGTGCCTTGCAGCATCTTAACTTTCGGCGAGTCGCCGCGTCGTCTCCTCGCTGGAACGACCATCTTTTACAGAGTTTCTCACCTTCCGACTCCCCATATATCTCAGAATCTAATCGTGCCCCCGCACCCAAGCAACTCAATAGCGACTCTTGACAGTGCCCCCAATGTGGGTGTATACAAACATCCTGCATCGTCCAGGAAGTTCGAAGCGGTAGCTTCTTGGGATCGCCCAAACATGGGGTGTATCTGGCTGGTCTGACGCGTTATCGAAATCACTTTAACTGAGTCATAGTGTTTGGGTCAGATGACGGGGGAGGAGACAATCCGCCGCTTGCTTGCTGCAGCTTGTCGATCCTCCCCCAATCCTCGGCGTAATGGGACCAGTCCTGGGCTGCCTGGGTATCCCTATGACAAATGCCACCAAAGGCCCTACTCGGAACACAAATCCAATAGCCACTTCGTGCCACTGCAACCATGAGCCAATAATCTCGTCGCGGACAATTATCATACCAGGTCTCGAGCAGCATAAGGAATAGATCGGGCGATGTGGTAAAATTAAGATCTTTTCCCTAACCATTCCAACACATGAGCAGCAGATTGGATCTGCCAAATCCGGTCGCGCCTATGGAACCTTTGCACAGATTCAATCCAGTTGTGAAACTAGTTGGAGAATCTATTGAAGACCAAGGAAGAATGCAATGTCGCTCGTTGTCGCTTCGACTTTTCGAGTGCTGGCCGCCGCACCCATGAGGTTGCACCCTATTTCAAGATACATATTACTTGTAATGCTGGGACTCGCCAAACACGATGTTTCACAGAGGAGACGGAAAGAGTGGTGGGTTTCCAAACAACTACTACTAGGGAATGGCGAGCATGTCTGATCCTAGGCTGCACGAATGCGGGACTGCGATGCCAGGGGAAATTCCCACCTTGTTGCATTGCTTGCGAGCTGCAAAGTCGATCCTGTTTGAGGGTCGTGTAGATCCGAGGGAGGCTAAGTTCCGTCCCAACGGCTTGCCAGCAGTCCTTGCAACCGACTGGATGGCGTATCTCCTTGCTCCCAAGTAACCCTGGTTTGCTGGATCCCTGGCGTTTAATCTGAGTTCCAGGTCTCCTCAGAGCTGCACGCTAGTGCCAGAAACCAGTCTTCTGGAACTATTGGCCGTTTTCATCATTCTCTGGTTGTCTTCTGCGCCACCAATCCGAGGGGTGAGCGACAGTGGCTTGCGCGATCCTAAACAGAAGAGGAAAACGGTCGGGCTTTTGGATGGTTCTGCCCATCAGTTTGGGCGAGGTCACCGCTGCACATCATTGCTCACACGGTAAAATATTTGGCGATATTCCCCTACGGACTCTGTCCAATTCCGTTAGGGCTCGGGCCTAATTCTGCACGTCAATGGAAACAGACAAAGATGACGGGGTTGAACGCCACAAACACTTGGGACCAAGGATCAGCTCTCCATTATTCCCAACTTCTGGCAGCGCCACGACTCGAAAAGGTACTCCGTACCTGTGGATCCTCAGATCCTGTTTTCCGTAAGTGATCCGTTTCTCCTCTCACTTTTACTTAGTATCATGTCCTGCAAGGTGACTGGCCACCCCGTCCTTCGAGAAGAGACCAAAGTCGCCGTGAGGTTGACTACGGAGGTATCCTCACCCCACCTGGAATCTTGCATCTGCAACAGCTTGTTCTCGGGGGCTTTCGAATATGCAGCTTTAGCTTTCAACTAATTCGTCACGTCGCAGAGACGCGGGCACTAGAAGGAAAATGAGCACTGGATCAAGTCTTGTCGTGGGGGAATCAACTTCGTAGTCAACAGAGATGAGGTTGACCGCTCTGGGATTGGCCAATGTTCAGCTTGGGGGACTAAATCACTCCCAACGAAGGGGCTCCCCTGCTTTCGAACCACCAGAAGCCCCATGATCGACGACGCAGAGTCCACCCCTGGTTGATGGCTGGCTGGCTAAGGGTGACGGCTCGAGTTCGACTTCCCCCGACGTATCCCTGTCGCATTCTCACGTTTAGATTGTTCATCTGATTGATACCAGTCGGAAGAAATGGGGGCAGAATGATCACACCCAGAGACGCAAAATTGGAAAGCCATGCAGCACTGGACGACAAGGCAGAAAGATACGAGTCGATCCATCCTCAGCCCCAGGAATCATGCGCTTCACGTGTGGACCACCAGTATGTTCCACTTTGGTCTTGTTTACCGCCCTGTGCGCCAAAGTCTCAACATGAAGATTGAGCGTTTCAAGGAAGGAGGGAGGCTTTCAGAACATGTTGGCGCTCTCCTCTCCCCTTTCATATGGAACCACACACATGTAAGAGAAATGCTGCAAGTGGCCGGTGTTTTCTCCGTATGCCCGAACAAGCGCACTGGATCTTCACTCAAAAAATGTCTCGTTTGGTCTACAATCATGACCGAAATGGGCTGGTCGGATGTTTCAGGCACAGTGAAAGCCTTCTAGAACGAGTATTTCGCCGCAGATGAAGTTCAATAGATGAGCAGGGATCAGGGCCTGTGAACCAGAGCAGCTCGAACCGAGTCCGGATGAGGTACGTGGATCGCCCATTTGTTTCTGATCTGCCCTGCCTATACATACTCGTACATGGGGCCGCTTAGAGCTACCCAGCGACAGAAGCCAAAGGCCTATGATCGCCCTCGGTCCGCCTCCACAGGGGGCCCGCCACACAGGTAGTCAAGGGAGTCCGCCAATGTCAGCAACATGGGCGCCGTCACCACCGTCACCACCGTCATGATGGCTGAAGAACCGGTGATCTCGGTCGCAACCATTGATGCCACGAGTATGACACCATGGTCTTATCATAGGGGAGATAGCCTCCTGGGACTCCTCAACTCGGTCGAACTCGTTGCTTGAAAGGCCCAACTTGGCCTTTAGAGAAGATGTATCCAAATGTCTACTACGTATCATCTAGACGTCAAAGTTCCGGGATGTTCTCAGCCCAGACAATCCGAACTGTGGCTTGGTTATGGGTCAAACACTTGTCATGGGTCCTCCCGGGCCACGTCCTCGAACAGGGGAACTCTTTTCGAGAATGGCTCCAGTGGTGTTTTTGGCGCAAATCAACTAGGCGGCAAGCCGAATGCCGGTCATGCCCCATTCGGCTGTTGAGAACGTTGTGGCTAGCTTCTTTCACTTCGGCTGCTAGAACCGGGGAGGCTCCTAGGAGGCCCTAGCTTTTTCAGGGTTGCGCATCAATCCGAATCTGCTCCCACTCAGACGTGGTTTTTGGCTTTCCGCTGATGTGCCCCAGCATCAAGTCAAGGTCTGCGGTCAGAGGGCCCTCATCCACCTGTCTGGCTTGTTGGATCCTTGATCTTTTCCCAGTGGGACCCCTTCCATTTTTCTCTGGCACGCATCCCAACGCCACGCGCACCGGCAGTTCATCCTCGTGCGCCGCTCGTGGACCACCATCTCTCACACCCCTTAACGGGCCTTGAGCGGGCTAAGCTGCAGTGGTTCCCTCATCCCCTCCCCAATCTATACTTGTCCTTGCTTAGAGGTTTTGACGATCTGGCCCCAAATTTCGCTGGTTGCCGATCGACAGATCAGTGGGAAAAGGCGCATGGCCATCGCGAGACCACAGTCGCGCCCTCAAGACATCAGGTTCCCTCTGTCCGTTGGCAGCCCTCTCTACCTACTTGTTCTAGCCACAATTTCGGCAGACCTGACCTGACGGAGAAAGTGGCGACCACTCGCTTCGCAGTAACTCGCCATCCCTCAGTGGACCAGTAGGCCAAGGTCGGACATTTTTACCTTGTCTCCATTCCTGCATCTCGCTTCTGTCGTTGCAGTAACCTGTCGAAGAACAAAAGACGCCTGATCGGGGTCTCCATTGAATCGAGAGAGAAAGAGCGCCTCTTTGTTTGTTTGTTATGGATTGACGGTCCTGAACGCTGCTGTTGCTTCTGGATGCGGGTACGGAAAGTGGCGGGCATGTCTCGACATCCAACGAGAGATCTCGGATTTGAGTAGATGACATAAAGCACTGCCCCCGGACACCTGCGATGCCTGGCGACTGTCGATGCGACTTGAGACCATGAACGAGTCTTTACCGGTCTGCGAATCGACGTCTGCCCACCCCTCAGGACCATATATCACCGCCCATGGGCTGGATCCAACGCCACATCCAAGGCCCGCGCCGCCGCGGCATCCTGGAACCGGACTGTTTGTGTCAGGACCGCCGATGATGTCGACCTTCTATGGTCCTCACGACATGGGACCCCTCTCTCCGAATGAAGGAGTGTATCGCACGGGGGACAATTTACGGCCAGGCAGTGGAAC